CGTACAGCTCCATCTGCCCGCGAATAGATCAAGCAATAATGCCAATAATTCTGTCAATACAGACCCCGATCTTGAGAGTTACAAACAAACATGCATACAAACAAACATACATACATACAGGTGAAGCTAATATAAAGCGTGTAAAAAATACCAAAATCTTGGTAACAACTATCTGTTCCATCCAGTAGCGGTTGAAACTTTTGTTGTTTATGGCCCGGAGTCTCTGTTATTCGTTCGTGAACTCGGAAGGAGAATAGGCCAAGCAACGAAAGATCACCGTTCTACCTCTTTTTTGATAGAAAGAATTAGCATTGCTATTCAACGTGGCAATGCTGCTTCTGTCCTTGGAACTATTCCTTCTTCACATAATTTTGATGAGATCATGCAATGCCCTAATTTCAGTACGGAACTGAAATATCTTCAAAACAAGCCGAGATATGTGGATATTCGTCAGTCCCCTGTCAAGCTTAATTCACAAGTGATTGATCCACCTTCTTCTCTTTCAGTGCGGTCAATGACCTTGGGTCATTCTTACCCCCTAAATATGAGTTGCAATTCTTGTAGTTCTGATTCACTTTCAGTGGAAGAGCTTCATGAAGCAAGAGCCGATTCGATCCCTCTACGAAAACCTTTTTCACTTGGAAGGATCGATCGCAGCTTGAGAAATGGTTCTTATGGAGATTATGTGAAACATGTTCTTCCTTACGAATCAGTAGTTGTCCTGAAAATTCAGAGAAGAAAATTGGATTGGATAATTTAGGAAACACTTGCTACATGATCTACAAGTGTTATTCAGAATTTCAAAAACGAAATTTTAATGTTGAACGAGAAAGGGAATGTTCCCTACTTATTCATCAAACTCAAACACCTGTTCATGCAGCTGCAGTTTCGTAAGAATATATCATCTTTTTCTCCAACCCATTTCCTGGAATCTTTGAAGTCCACTAGATACTCGTTAGGACAACAAGAGGATTGTTCCAAATTCTTGGGATTCTTGTTGAATACTCTTCGTGAGCAAAACAATAGCAAAATCAATACTCTTGACCGCTCTGGATTGGATGATTCCGTAAAGTCCATCTCGTCTTGTGTTTGTAAATGTTTTGCTGGAAAAATCTTCACTTGTTTACTTTGCAGTAGATGTTCAAGAGGTAGTGAAAACTTATGTGAATTTCTGGAACTTCATCTAGCGTTTCCTAATAAGACTAATAACCAGTCCGTGCGATGTTTATTGTTAAATCATCTGAAAATGGAATTTTCAACAGGTGATGATAGACTGTATTGCCAAACATGCGTCAAACTAACTGACTGCTATAAGAAAACAAGTATAGCTGAGGCACCAGTCAATGTAATGATAACACTGATACTAAACCTCTGACGGAAGCAAAAAATTCTTTCAAAATAGATGAATATTTCAATCTAGCAGACCACTATTATAATATTCATGCAGTCATTGTTCACTGTGGTTCTGACGTTGAATTTGGTCATTATCACGCCTTTGTCTAAGACGAAACGGACTGGTTTTCAAGTTTGACAATAGTCATGTCACGAAGTGTTTTGGCGATGTATTGAATCTATTGGAGTCTCTGGAGACACCCTATATTTTATTTTATGAGAGAGAGGACATCGGCAGATCAAGATCTTCAGACAATGTGGTGCTGCAGGTTTTTCCGGGTTTTCCTGCAGCTGAAAAAGCAAATGCGCCACTGAAATCAATGAAGTCGCCCCGGAGCGCCAATTAATTTTAATTGTTGTTTTTTTATCGTTGTTTTATAATTTCATTGAAAATTATATTATTTTTTTCATACCACGTGTGCATTAGTAATTCTGTAGACGGTTGATTGGACAATTACCTTTTGTTAGAAGTTCTCAAATTAAAGAATACTTCATTCAAATAGATATTGATTCAACCTGATAAAAATTTTTTTGTACTGAAATATCACAAACCTTCTTTTACTTTGGTTGAAATGTCTGATGCAAGTTATATAATCAATGCTGCTGTGACGTATTCATCGTCATGAATAGTCAATGTAATAAAAAAATCGTAAAATCATCACCGTTAATAAGTTTTAATCTCCACTTCATTATGTTCAATCTGAACAATATCATACCTCCAAAAACTGAAAGCGAGTTTTCGAAAAAACTATTGCCAAGAAAAAAACAATTGGAACTTATAACTAATATTTGTTCCACAAATTATATCTTACCATAAGGTGACCAACATAAGTTGGTCACTCAGAATTTCGTTACTAACATGTTATAAAAATATATTTAGTGTTATTTTTACCTGTTTTTTGAACTAAGTTATATAGCGAAAACCCATAGTGCTGTTGCGGATGTTTGTATAGAAATCATTCAAAGAGGTAGACATTCTAAATATTCACTATTCATTCTTCTGTGAATTTATTACCAAATCATTCATCATATATAAGATCTTTTATTTGTGATTAACATGTCATTTTTCATTTATTCATTTTTACTCAGCCACACTACGATTATTTTTATGCCATCTGTTTTTCAAATTTGCAATTTCAAACTCAAATCCAAAGTTTTCTTCTTCGTACCTCAAATTGCTTTACACAACGCGATTTCTGTTAAGGCGTCCATGCCAAATCAATCGAATTTGAAAATCTACCATTCGAGAATATATCTAGTAACAAACAGCAAAATTACATCGATACTTTCAAATTATAACATACACAAATTTTTGCATCTAAGATAGCGCAGAAATTAAAATTGCTTCGACAAGCTAAATGGAATAACGCAGTAGTAGTTATTATGTTATTATTATTCTAACTAGTACAGAAACACAACATTTCCGCACTCGACACCGTTATCCGAAAAAGCTGATTTCGGGTAAGTAGTCGAATGTGGGAAAGTATGAGTTCAGATCAAGCATTTTTCCACAAGTGAAAATGTTATAAAGCGCTGAAAAAACTATATGCGGAACAAGTCCTGATCTGAATTGCTTGTAGATATAGGGTGATCCACGCACACGCACGCTTGTACAAAAACACATACAAAACAGGAACTTCTTCAAAAAATTATTCTCCATTATTATCATCGGATTCCTGCACCACGAGAATCTAGTTAGAATATTATTCATCATGAAATGCAAGTGCAGCGTTGCCTGATTGTGGGGTGACCAACATGGTATCCATTGAAAGCGTTCATATAAGCCTGGGCTCACAAATACACTATTCACAGCAAGTGTGTATGTGTATATGGTGTAATTGTCGGCCCAACCAAAAATTTTCCAAACGTCATTTCACATGATAACATGTCCTCACAACACTATATACAGTGGGAAACGTCGTATGTATGTATAGAATAGTAGTTTTTCGGGGATTCGGTCTGATTAGAATAAATATTTACTCTTTTTAGCTGCCCGAGCTTTCGCTAATGTTTATTAGCTTTATCGAGGGCTGTAATATAAAAAGGACAAAAAAAATTGTTAAGAAATAATGCAATACTTATCTTAACGTTTCTGAGGCCAAAATCTGCCTCCGTTTTCAGAAATGGACAAAAAAAGTTCTAATGTAGTGGCAGTTATTCCTTTTTGATTATTGATTTCTTTACTTCTTCGACAGATGTCAAAGAAGTTTTGAAATATGAAATTATGTCAATGTTGTCGATTGACAACTGAAAAAAGTCGATGTAATAATTTTTGAGTAAATGGTGATTTTCCTTTTTAGCACTCCCTGCTCCTCCAGTTTCATAATTCAAAGAGATGGATGTATCTGTTAATACGTGGTATGAGATCATCATGAAAGATGAGAAATGAAACTTTGTGTTTTTTTACTACTTTTATTTGTAACCAACAATATTGTATCAGTTTGAAGAGTGAATTCGATTTTTTTCTTGGGTTATTTTCGAAATTTATCAGTTTCTAATAATATATTATCAATAATTGGTTTGCATTCATAAACTGACCATCATTCCAAGGTATTGCTTATCTGTTACAAGTTTCATGGGATTTTTTTCATATTATCAGATTTGCAATTTCATCAACATTTTTTCTGAAAAAGAAATCTATTGAATTTATGCAATAGTGACTGTGAGAAAGCAATAATTGAACCATTTTGTTATATTGCTGAAGTCTGTTTGCACCTTTCTGAATAAAGCTTTCCAAATTTGTCTGAATATAAAAAAGTTGTTTCACTGGCGAAACTAATAATGTGTTCTGAACTATTTTCATGAAATAATTTATAATATGGAATATTTTATAATAAAAGGTATTGGTTCTGAAACCTTACCATGTGATATATCGAATTCAATATTCAGTATAGGGCTTTTTTGTCTGCAATGGAAAAACAATTTCTCTACCTGCTATACAGAAATTCCAGAGTGGCCGCTATAATGCGTACATCCTCTACAGTTTTCAATAAAATTCCAGGTGACAGAGACCGCGTCGAAAATGGAAAGTAGGTTAGTTTAACTAAAGATATTCATACATATTTTAAATCATTAGTGCAATTGCATTCTGTGTAGATCTTGCTATCATTAAGAGCGCTCCATACCTGCAACTGGACCCTCAAACTGCATCTAACGGTAAATGTCTGAGAATATGGTAGGCGGTCCTATTTTTACAATCACAGACATACTGAAAAAGGGACGCCTCCTTCTATCTTGATGGATATATTCATTACGCAAATCGACAAGTTAATGTTGTTGCGACTACAGAGGGGACACGGCAAACTCCATAGACGGAGCGTAATTGTTTTACGTTTGGAAATTAATTAATCGTTTAAATATTTTCAATGGTGAACGATGTTTTATTATTCTATTATTATCATGAGGCTATTGCCAGAATCATTTCATCTTCAACAAAGGTTGTCCTACATTGGCGGTGATAAAATTCCTTCTAGTTTCAAAAATGCACCTATATTATCAAACAGAAAAAAATCTGAATCGAATGATACTTCAACCATACTTTTAGAAGCCGGCAAAAAGTTTTGACCTAAAAAGCATTTGTGAACTAGACTTTTCAACGGTATGTTTACTGGCGTGGTGGATTGCGAATTTCCAATTTCCTCGGGTATCTACGATCTATCAATTTGGGCAGGAGGCAACTGTTGTAGAAATTTTCCAACTTTGGTTTCATTTTATTCGTCCAGAATGAATCGTCCTTGATAATCTAAAAAAAATTACTATCAATTTTATAAGGTCATGGAATATAAAACAGAATCAATACATAAAGTGCTCAGCCTATAATTTTAATATTTATAATCAGAAATATTTTTGAATGATTGGGGTGAGTTGTTGAAGGCAGTTAAACATGGATGAAAACCAATTTATCGTTTTGATATCACAGATTGTTATAGGTATGTTACTAAAACTCACCTTTTCAACTAAAATTCCCAACGGAGTCCAAATTACAAAATAACACAGAGAACGCTGAGTAATGTGTAGCTGTCCTTGTACTTGATAGTAATAATTATGATTTTGTTTCAGCTGTAAGTGTAGATTCTCATCTAGAGTACAGAAATTTATTATTTTTTGCTCGATTGCTTCTTTGGGGTGCATTTTTGACGCAGTTTTGGGGCACTTCACCTCAACAATGGCGTCATCTCCTATCAACCCATCAGGACTGGCTCCAAAAATATAGTCGTATTCATCAATGAACATTCCACAAGGTTCAACCTGTGACAAAAAAAAATAATATTTACTCTTGTGTATCATTAAAGGAAGTATTACTTTGACATCAAAATCATTCTCTAGTTGTCTAATTGCGAATGGCTCATGTTCTCTTCCATACTTGGTGTTTTCGTTTTCTCTGAAGGTGGCATAAAGTAAGTTTTTCACCTTATTGACACAAGATGTTGTTTTTCGCATCTTGCAAATGTCACCAAAATGTGGAGCTGTTAAGCGAATACTTCTCTCCTGTTGCCATAAAGGATTGCCAGATTGACCTTTTGAGTTTTATCTCTTCGGCAGTTTTTTTAATGAATTGAGAAAATTGTATTTTTTTCGCTCGAATTGATCGGTAGATAAATCAGGATCAGGGATAGCGTCTGGGCCGTAATCCTTATCTGGCAGATCATATTTCTTCTTAAATTTTGGTGGAAGCTCTTTATTTTTGCGCCTCGTGATTTTCTGCAGTTGGCGTCTCCTTTTCATCATGTCTACATATCTTTTGGTATAAAATGGAACTTTGTGTTTTTCAACAACATTATAATAGTCCCCATCAGAGTTGAATGAAATAGCAGCAGCTTTACAACGTGTCGCATACGATCTTTTACGAGAATAGTTTATTCTTTTACCTCCAACAAACTTGCAGATGATGCTGTTGTATTGTTCAGCGATATTGGTATCCAGGTCCGCTATTAAGCTGGTCTCATTGAAAACTAAGCGGTTAATACAGACTTTAATATGTATAACTTTAATAATATAACTTCAGTAACGTTAGTTAAAAATGAAAGAGGTAACAAACATAGAAAGTTTCAATTATGGTTCCATCATAATGATTTCCTACAGCGTAGTAACGGCTACATCCATCAATTTATTTGTAAATACCATTACTTCCCAGTGAATTGCCACAATTAGTTATTTCTAATACTACTTGATGTGCTAGATCATCAGTCGATATATAAATGAAATTACTACTTTAATCAAATTTGAATTGATATTAAAGGGAAACACTTTCATCGTCTCTTTGTCAGCGTATACTTTTGAAAGCACTCAAGGTTTACTCAAACAATAATCATTAATTAATATGAATTAAAGTTCTATCAATAAAAACGGTATAATAATACTTCATAAAAAATTATTATTCATTCCGTTGTTAATTAATCTTTCAACCATACCATAAAGTATCATAGATCAGAAAAAATAATCTATTCCTTTATACATTTTCGAATATTTTGAACTATCTATCAATAACAGTCATTGAAATATTCAAATTGAAAACTGATAATGAAATATTTCAATTGTAAATATTTGAATGCTGAGAATAGTGAAGAGTATATTATTTTGAATATTGTGAAATCAAATACAAGTTACATTACGACAGAATGAAGGAATAAAAAATTCATTGCAAGCAACCATTGATCAAGCTCACTCAAAAATGAGTTATTCAGGACGGATCGTATCGCCGCGGCTGTAGAATAACGGATAAGGAACTTGTATTTTCTGGGGATTCAGCACGTTTTCTTTCTACACGGTTTCGACCAAGGAATCGTCGTACCTTAACCAACAGTTGTAGTCGACATGAAAGACATCGGTTACAGTTTGTTCCTTGTTGGCCTCTTTGTCGTCGTGGTAACCGACGCGACGGCGGATAGCTTGTACAACTTCTCTTCTGGAGACTGTATTTTCAACGATACCGGTATTGGATCAATTATATAGTCAAATTCAAATTATTTAGTCAAATTCAAACCCCAAAGCCATGTCTTTGTGCAACCGTCGTAGCTGTAATCGAAATATTCTGAAATCCAATATAAGGATAACGGAAGGTTCTCGGGGCATTACTTTCTACCCGCTTTGGACAATACCAGTCCCTCTAATATATGTATTTTTGGAGACAAATACCTCAAGCGCTTCTCTGACAGTCGAAACTTCCTCAATGTTGAGTTGCAGCGTGAGGAAACGCTGGATTGGTAGCAAATTGCCAGAAACGACTCTCCTCGATAGGAAGACTCAACAGATAGTCTCTGGTCTGGATTTCTGGCCATACTGATCTGGAAGGCAATGAGGCTGCTTACTCCCTTGCAAAGGAGGGTGCTGCAATCAGCTTCATCGGACCAGAACCTGTCATTGGCATCGCTTTAGGCTTTGCCAAACAAGCAATGACCACCTGGATGGCAAGAAGATTTATGGACTTCTGGCAGAATCTTTCAGGATTGGCTCACTCCAAGGCGTCTATTCACCCTTCGAAGCTTAATTCCAAACAGTTGTTGGACTACAGTAGAGATGAACTACGATGTCTAACAAGTCTTCTTACAGGTCAATGTCATTTGAATCATCATATGCAGCGACTCGGACTATCGGAAGACAGTGTGTGTCGTCTCTTTTTGGAAAATGATGAACCAGCAGAGTACATACTTTGTGCCTGTCCCACTGGGGATCAAATCAGGTTTTCAAAGTTCGGCAGAGTCGTACTCTTACCATCTGACCTGAAAGATCACACACCATACAAACTAATCGGGTTCGTTGAAAAGCTGGGTTTATTTGGTCGAGTGTGAATAGGTGTGACCCACAATAAACCCAGTGCGGGTTGCGGTGAAGGATTGAATAGACCCACTCACTTTAGACCTAACCTAACCACTAAAAATATCGCTAATCGATGTACTGACAAAGTTGGTCCTTCCGGTTGCATATCATTTATTTTTCAATTCTATCACCTTTCACTCATTACTCGAATCATTGCTCGTATTAGAGTCAACAAGAGGTGCACCATTTAACAACTTCAACTCCAACTCCGTTGTGGACTGTGCGGGTTCAGCCAGACTCTTGACTTCAGTGTCATCAAAAATTCCCTAATCGTGTTCTGTCGAAGATTGACCATTCTGCTGCGAGTTTCGTGTTCACTATTGTGATGATACCCATGAACCGCAGGAGTTTGTAACGGAAAAAATGATGATTGGAAAGCGCCATCAGATATTGAGGCTTGTAATAGATAACACTCGAATGGGGATGGTGATAGGATAGGACTGACTAAACCATATAGGCGGATGCTGATTTTACTCATGGGAAACATGGACAATGCATTTATTGTTTCAAATGAGGAATTGTACCTGAACAGAAAACTGTATTTCCCCTTTTCAATCCAAATATTTGCAATCAAGGGTATTTTGTCTCTTTGGAGATTTTGGAGATTTTTATACCGATTTCATGAATGAACTCTAATGCTTGGGGTGCAAAAGATATCGAATGTTCCGATTCTCATTACATAAATAATTGAATTATCTTCTAAACAATTGTATTTTCGTTTTTCGCCAATTCCGACGATGAAGTGGCTGAACCGCTAGATACTGAAGTCGTAGGAAAGTAACTAGGAACCGATGCACTAGAAATCCTGCCACAAAATGGAAGTGTATCATCTGGTCGTTTCCCAACATCGCCAAAAGTGCCTGGGGATTCTAAGATGGAGAGTATATTTGCCGAACCTTAGGCACGTTTGCTGACATCAGCATGATGACCTACGGCAACTCAGGAAGATTCATTGTTCAATTATGTACCAAGAGATGGAATTGATAAGACATTCAACCGAGCGCCTGCATGTTTTGATGTAACTACTTTCATACGTGCCTTTTTTATAGGAGTTTCAGCCAAGTCTAGAATTCAATTTTGAATAACAGATGAGAGGGCATTGATAACTTCCTCACAGTCTCTTCCGAAGGAACCGTAATTCAAATACCACGCATTGAACTCTATTTTCAAAATTTTCATTTTGTGTATAAATGTATATTACTGGAGTTGTATTCCAACACCAAACCGTTATTTTTAACACCTTCACACTTGTTTTAATCATCAAGTGATTATCTTCAAAAGGAAGATCAAACAGTTCAGTCATCAAGTGATCATCATGAAGAGGAAGATTAAACAGTTTAATCTTCCTCTTGAAGATGACCACTTGGTGATTGTAACACGAGTCAAGGTGTTGAAAATAACGGTTTGGTGTAGGGATAAAACTCCAGTAATATTCATAAATACACCGTTATTTGAAGCAGATTTTAAGTTGAAGTCCCGATTCAGCACATTGAAAGCTTTCTTTTATTCCAATGATGACGTCATTAATGATAAGTTGTGGCGGTGGTGCTATGATATAATCAAATCATTTGGCAAGTTATTAAATTACTAGTTCCAAAGTACTAAAGTGAACATGAACAATAGCCGTTTGTTCAATATACCCCATTTTTCACTTATTGATGCGAGGGTCATTAATATCATGAAATACGCACCGATATGTCAAAATTGATCATCCGTTATGTGTATATTGAAATATTGAAAAGTCTCCGACTACTGAATCTCCAGCGTCATATATATCTGCACCACATATCATCCATCAAAATTTTCATTTATCTTTGTACTCATTTAATTAAGGTAAATGACAGAATCTTGCTGGAGGTATTCGGTGGAATCGAATTATCACTAATTTGTTTTAATTAATTAATATCCCTGGAATGATCCCATCAATCAACCTTCTATGTCAGATATAAAGTTTCGTATAACAGCTGGTAGTATAGAGATAAGTAGAGTAATTAAGATAAGCAATTATCTCTGAAAAGTGTTTATTAGAGGATTTCAGGTGTTAATTAACTGCATCAATTCATTCTATTGTCCTCTCAACTCAGAGAATTGGATCTTCAACCTTTCGAATTGATTGAGGCAGCAGTTATTTTTTGGTTGACAGGTAGACCGGAGGTCATAGGACATTTTGATCACCTTTTCAGGTATACATCGACAATACAGAAAATACCTGGAACAGAAAAAAAAAACAATAGAATATGAAACATTAACGAAATCCACCACATAGAATAACTAAAATCCTAATTGAGTATATTCATCCAAAGAATGAAATGTTTTCAACGAAGGTATATTTTCATCTAATTTTTGAAAAGTTGAAAATTCATTATTGGCATCAGTCAGAAGTAGGTTATGAAGATAGACATTCAAACAATTTGATCTAATTTGAACTTCCGTGACCACAGCGAATGATTGAGTCTTGTTATGTTATATGAATCTCCATCTGTTTTTTTTAAGTTAATAACGTATAGGATTCGCGAGTGGAAAAAATTATAATACACTGATTTCAATGTGATGAAAAGTAGAAATATCGAGAGCAAAAAACCTTGTGAAGTAATTTTTTTTAGGTATCTTCGACAGAATCAGATCGTAACTGTTGAAATATGTTCGACCTCCATTAGTTCTCAGAGCCTTCGTGGCTTCGGAATGC